GAAAGGAGAATCTTGACTCTATAATTCTCTTTCTAACTCATTTCTAAACTTTTTAAATATATAAATTTATGAGGTTCACTTCTTAAAAAATACCTTATATACCCTCGTTAGATTAGCTAGCTTAATCTATATTCAAAGCAACTTCTAAATAACTGAAAACTCCTAAAAGTTTATAAATTTCTAAAATTTCTCAATAATGAAACAATAATTCGCAACAATAAATAATTTAATAAAATAAAAAATTATTTCACAAAAATTCTAGTATACACTATCATTTAATTTTTAATAATGATTTAATGTTATATTTTTGTCCAATTTTGACAAAGAATTGTTAATCTTTTATACACGCTGCACAATAAAAAAAATAATTATCGTCGTGTGTATAAGAAAATAACATTGTTAGTCTAAATTAGATAAAAAAATAATAATACTACGTTATTTTTAAAAATTAAAAGACTAAATCAAATATGTTATGAATGGACTAAATTAAACTGATTAAATAAAAAAGAAATAGAAGAGTAATTTAACCTAAAATGAAATTTATAGACGTGCTAATAAACTAATTAAAAAATACTTATATATATACTACTATAATTTTTTTTATTACATGCGACTTTTCCTGCGAATTTTTATAAAAAATTCGCAAGAAACGTTGTTCCTACAAATTTTTTTACGAAATTTTATCTACAGGTAATACCTTCGTGGATAATATATTTTTGCAAATTTTAAAATTCGCAGGAAATTTTCTGCGAAATTTATTGCAAAAAAAATTCGCAGAAAAGTTTCCTGCGAATTTTTTCGCAAGAAATTCTGCATGAATATTTTTTACAAAAATATTAAAAAAATTACTATAAATTCTATCAATAATTCTTCAACTTTCAAATGCTCACAATGAATTCATCCGAAACATTTATTTCCATGCCTCCAACATGTAATATATAATCATTTAAATTCTAAGATTATAGATAATAAGCCTAACACTCAACCATACAAAACAACTTGTAAGGTAAGTGTTGCCCCAACTTATATACTCTTTAATTGTTTTATTTTCAAGCGATGTGGGACTTAAAGTGTTTTTAAAATATTAAACTTATAAATTTAAATATTTTTTTTTTAATTTTTCCTGCAAATTTTAATTTGCAGGAAAATCCGCAGGAAAAGATACCTGTAAAATTTTTCTACCATTTAGTAAACATTACTTGCGAATTTATTTTTGCAAGAAAATTTGCAAGAAACAAAATAAAATTCTTGCAATATTTTCTTCAAATTTTTACCATGAAATTTTTTTTCTATGATCATTAAAATTGTAGCAAAATTTGTAAGAAATATCTGTAAATTATTTTTTGCAAAAAATTTCTGCGAATATTTTTTTGCAGGAAAATTCGCAAAAAATTTCTGCAATTATTTTTTTGCAGGAAAAATTTCAAAAAGTTTATGCGAATATTTTTTTTAGGAAAATTTGCAAAAAATTTCTGCAAATATTTTTTTTGCAATAAAATTCACAGGAAAAAGACACTTTTCTAGTAGTGATATATATATATATATATATATATATATAGAGTTATAATTATACCGATGTAATTTTTACTAAGTATTACACCGCTCAATAACTTTATATTAAAT